CGGGATCTTGGTTGCCGGTTCCCCTCTTAAAACGAGAATTCACTCCGGCTTTCGCTTCCTCTACTCATGCGCAAAACAAACGTACTTATCACTCTCACCAACATTCGTAGAGGAGCAAAACCAAACGTTTTACCTTGATCAACACCCTGAACCAGCTAGTTGACCTCCTCACTGGTGTTCCTGATTCAGCTGGCGATCGCACCCATGCCCTCGACCTAACATTCACTGCGGTTCATTCTTTCTTCTCAGACATCTACTCTCCCTCCACTTGACTCATCATATCACTGAATTACTCCTTGCTCCATCAGTTTTTCTAGGCTTGATCCGCCGCCAACCTCGAGACCGGGACAGCTTTTGTGACTTCCTAGCTGCTTATCCTCGGACTAATTACTGCTTCACTTGGGAAGTTTCGAAATCTGTTTTTGACTTCGCCGACTTTACATGTTGTTCAAGATACACTTCTTGTTATTCAGTCTTTTTCTAAACCCGGTAAACCCCGATTCCCCAAGTTGTCTAACCTCGGATGCGGTCGTGCTGTGCACCTTAAACACTCATCTTTCTGTCGCTGGCGCCGCTTACTCACTCCCGACTCCCAGGATTGCTTTGCACAAGCTAGGAGCAGGTTCTGGACAACCATGCAGAGCCAAAGGACGCGTCGCCTGCTATAAAGCCGAAAACTTGACCTCGTCTGCCACCGGTAGCCAAATATCTTCCGCTCGCCAAAGAAATTGCCTACAATTTCTGCCCTTGTAACTTTTCCTTGTCTGTAATTCCGCTGATACTCTTGTATGTCAACCGCACCCTACCCAATTATCCTGGTTTTCCACCTTACTTCATTAGCAATCCCTTCCTCCCTCATATTACCACTAAGAAAATCCGCCAAACTTTGCGCTCCCCAAACCCACGTGAACCACTCTGTCCGGACGGCATTCTACTCATCATCCTCAAAGGTGTGCTCCCAAGTTGGCTCATGTTCTACATCGTCTTCTCTGTCTTTTTTCTCAAACTTTCCACTTTTCCAACCTATTGGAAGCTTCCGGTGATTTTTCTCATTCCTGTCGTACTACTCGCGATTGCAAAAATCAACATGGTAACCGTAGTTCAGTTATTGGGTCACTGGACTCTGCTCTGGAACACGTCTCACCGACAACCATTCTGTAACTTCCAATCTGCAGTCACTAGTCCATCATCCTAAACTTGCTTCAATGCGGTGGACAGCAAACGAAGTGGAGCCTCATAGTCACGAAGACCTGCCGTTACTATATTTTCTATTCGTGGGAGCTTGTCTCCACAGACGCTGCTTATATGCTTCAACCTCCGATCTTCCAAGTTATGGAATAACCTTCCACTGTGTGTCTTTCCTTCAACTTACTACTTACTTTACTTACTTACTTTCACTCTTTAAACACAAAATCAATGAGCCCGATTTTACGTGAATGGTTTCTGCTCCCCCTTAAACGGTGTGCTCTTTGATTATAATAGATTTTCCCTTTTACTGTAATTCACATTGTCTAGTGACTAAAAATATCAATGTACTTCACATGTCCAGACCGTGTCCAACAAATCACGCTAAAATAATCTTTAGAAAAACGAAAAGGTTCCGTGGCGTGTTTGTGTGCACGATACTACCAGGTTACCAGACAGGTGATTTCTCTTGGGGAATTCACAACCAGCCAAAAGCTAACCTGCAATGCAGCGGGGTGATATGTGAAAACAACAGTACATTAGGAGCTGATGTCCAGTTCATCGGATCACAAACCCTTTGGACGGAGTCAAACGTCCAGGGTATCCAATACACCTCGATGCCCATTCGGGTTGGTGATTATCCAAAACTACGAAGGTGTGGTTCGTACGCCTATCTTTGGTTGGTTTGGAATCAGGGTTTTTAGCCAACTCTCCCAAGTGAACAGCCAGTGGTTCGCCCACCCGGGTATAGCTTAGCTTTTCGTCCTCTTGCTTTGGTGTGGAACCATATCCACTACTGGAAAGCAGTGTATGGTTTCCTCATCCAAGGCTGTTTGAGTCACCTGGTAGTATAGGAGCATTTCGTAAGGTGCAAGGGAAGGGAGGCCAACCACAACGTAACACACCCACCCCGACCATACTGTGGCTTTTAAAAGTTAAACAATAAATTATAAAATTAAATGTCTACTTTAATCAAGGGAATCTGTAGAGTACTCACTCCTCTGGAAACGCGGTTGGTCAGTTTATACCTATCGTGATGATCCTTGCGTTAGTTCATCCTCATTTGAGGCAATTACACTTGATACCGCCAACTAAAATCAGTGACGGGAGACAGTGAGTTTCGTGGGAAAATCAAACAGTAGTCTAATAATAGTAACACTTTGACCAATTCAGTCAATTTACCTTTAATAGTAAGCGGAAATGTGTCACTCACAGAGTTTGACTTAAATCTTGTCACCGTTCGATTCGAATTCCACCTTTTACGATTGCGTGCATGTCATTTCTACACCATCTTCTGTCACCAGTCTTATCGTGGGGTGCCTACGAATGCACAATGTTATCCAACAAAAATCAACCAATGTGCGCAGAACTTACCGACTTGTAATCTGGTTTGTAGGGGTGAGGGAAGGGATGAAAGATAGTCTTCAAATCGTGTGGTGATGTTGAGGTAGCTCTTAGAGTCAGTATATTTAACCGGTACTTTGTGAACTGCTTGAACTGCTTCTCTCGAATGAGTTCTATGTCCTAGTGTATAAGATTGGTGTCGCAATTTTTGCGATTCTGAGGTTTTATTCGTGGCTTTTCCTGTATTCAGCAATCAAATATATGAAACCAAAGACATTGAATGAGAAGCATTTTAAAACGAATTTAATGAGAGCTGAATTTGTAGAAAGTTTTCTCAGTATATGGATGAAATATCACTCAGCTTCAAAACATCTGAAACCTTTAACGACATCGTTGCACCCTGGTGAAATCAGTGTTCGGTCAGCACCAGTCGCATGAGAAAAAATGTAAGGTTTTTTTTACATTGCAAGGAGGACTTGTGACGCCTCAATAACCGGTTTTCCACGCAGTTGTTCGTCTAGTTACAAACACCGTTTTAAAATGGTCTGCTTTTCTTTTGGGGGCATTTTTCAACATCCACATGTTTAGACATTCAACCATGCCTTACTAGATATCTTATGCTATTTATGACTACTCCATTATAGAATATTGTACCACCCCCACACGTCAAACGTTTACTTTCGAGCTACATTTTGTTCATAAATTTACTTCTTCATCTCTTTCAGGCCTTATCCTCATTACCTGTCAGTGTGACCGGTAGCCTGGCTGGACCGCGGCAGAACGGTCACAGCGAGTTTTCCCCTCCCTCGGGTCTAGTAGCCAGTCAGCCCTCCGACCATTCGATTCAGTTACAACCACCACAGCAACAACAAGCCCAACTCCAACATACTGCTAGCCTCGATCCGAATCGATATTTCGGGACCGGCTCCGGCCTGGGTCGTCACATCTGTCAAGCCCTGTTTGCTTATCCGGCTAGTCAACCGGACGAGTTGTCCATCGAACGTGGAGACAAGATTCGGGTGTTGGAGAAAAGTTCCGATGGTTGGTGGCGTGGTGTCCTAGTGACGGAGGGACGGCCGGCTTTGATGGGCTGGTTCCCATCCAACTATGTCACTTTGGACCTGACGAAGAATCTCAGTCGGTAGGTCATCTGCTTGCATGACTCCGGAGTTCGCAGTACATATCCGATCAATGTAGTTTCACGGATATCCTCGTTTTTTTCATGGGTTTATGCTCCTCCCCGGGCTCAATGTGTAGTATTAAATTGGTCAATATTAACCGTGATCCTAGTTTGCTAATCTCGAATAGCTGTATTTTTCTTGATTATGTTTCTCTCTTGTCTACTAGCACCTGTATGGTAGTTGAACCGGTATCCTACTTTCACACTTCCTCTTTGTTCTTCAAACTAAGAGTCATTCTGTCATAAGTTGCCTGTTTCTGAAGCGATTCAGGGATGTTAATCATGGTTTCAGATTGAGCCGTGATTNTGATCAGTTTTTCGGCGCTCGCTTGTTGTTTTTTCATATTACAAGGGAATTCTTTTAAGTATGAAACTGACATACTTGTTTTGTTCTGGTGCGTTCTGGTTATTTTCTGCTATGGATGTGTTTTTGGATAGGAGCTTTTTGTATCATATCATCTGCATGTGGTTGTTCCCGGTTGTCCAATCAGATCTACTGTTTGACGTGTTTGGGACCCTTTTTCCTATTTCTCCCTATGATACACATGCGTGTTTGTTTTTGTTGCTTTCTGGTACATGTTTAAATGATTCAGTCTTATGGGTTTGTTGTTACCTCGGATTTAACAATCCCACTGATATCCATATGGCCTAACTTAATGACTTTCTGTGTCCGCAAGTTAGGGCGAAACGGTGATGAGTTGGGACTTTTCCATCAGTCTGGATGTGCCCCCTTCCCTTCTACTTCAGTGTAGTGACTGGGTTAAAGTGTCCCGTAGATGTACTTAACGTTCTTCCTGTTGACCCGCAAGGTTCGGTTGTCTTACCACTGGCTGCGATGTGGTTACTTGCCATGCTGTAAACATTTCTGGCCTTTCACCCTTTTTCCGGTTTGTGAATCGCAAGAAGACTTCATTCTCCGTGTGACCAATTGACTTCCGGTGCAGATTTTGTTCCCCAAATGACAATCATACAAACTTAACAAGTTTCATTACTTTTCCGTGCGAGCAAATCGTCCAGATTTTTTATCGACAACAGTTCCTGTTTCAAACTAAAGTGAAACCGTCACTCGGTCGCATAGCAGGAATTCTAGGTTGAGTGACCTATTCATTTGAGATTTTTCTTGGTTTACCTATCCGATCACTTCACTCTGCCTCAACTGCAAGCAAAACTGGCTGACTGATTTGGAACAGTTCCCGTCGTCTGCAGAATACACTGCCCGCCGCATTCTATTCCTATCGGATCCAATATGTTGAGATTCATAAAAGCGGTGAATAGTATGCCGAATATGACCGTATTTAGCTTTGTGTATCTGTATCGGAATCAGTCAGACCGCGGTTCACGATTGCTTCTGTGTTCCCACCAACTTAGATGCGCGCCACCAGCGCGTATGCGTCTGTACATGCGACATGTTTGACCCTTTTGCTGTCTGAACAATTATTCATATCACTTTTGTGTTCCTGCGCCGTCCGAGACACGTGTTTCACCGCACTGTTTACCGGATTTTGATGATGCTTTGTAGCAGTTCGTCACGTATGTGTGTGTGTTTGTGTGTGTGAAAGAGCGAGAGCGAGAGAAAGAGAACGAAAGCTACTTTCAGGGTGGTAAAGAGAATGAGAGACACCAGATGGAAGGACTGCAGCAGAATGAGTCAGCGAACGCATTCCAATACCTACGATACCAAATAGATGATCTGATTGTCACCTTCATAACCTCTTCCTTGGACGAGTGAAGTAATGATTGCGAGTATCGTTCAGCATTTTTGGTCGGAGCAGTAAGCTTCTAATCAGCAATGCTTAGCACATGCGTGCAGAGCGATATAAATCGGTGTTTGTTCGATTATCATATTTCGCGTTCATTTGACTCCCACATAGTTTGTTATTTGTCATACAGAGTATGCCTTCTTTTCGCGAAGTGTTCTCGTAACTTGTGACTAGCCATACTGCGTACTACGATCTTCAAGTGAAAAAGCTAATTAATCCAATCACTTAGTTTCACTCCACGTTGCCGCCAACTCAGATGCCATCGTTCTGTCCCTGGGCAGCCGCATCTCATTGCTCGCAACCGCTGCACTGCAAGCAGATTTTCTAATCATTTATTTGGTATAAAAAAGAAAGTAAAATTCAGTGTTCTATGAATGTGCTTGTTTGTTTTACCTCAGCGATTAAGAAGATTAAACGAAATGTTAACATCTCGCGACATGTCTTATTTCGGTCTTGATACGATGGATAAAGCGAACTCAGTGTTTCAAAGATAAGGATGTTTGAATAAAAAGTTCATCGCTCCCAAGATACCCTTTGGGTGAGTTGCTATCGATAGCTTCGCGACCGTCATTTCCCCGAATGTTGTCTCGCTTTGTCTGTCCTCAAGTTTAAACATAATTTTGTTTGCCAATTGGTTCTCTACCATTTTTGGAGCGCCTAATTTTTGCACCCACGTGTCCCGATCATTTTATCTTCTGTCAAATGTACTCACCCAGGGCACTGACTCAATCTTCTCCCCTGTTTCATCGTGTATCGTTTTCCTAGACTTCACTCTGACCCCTTAGTCACTTCGTCTCTAGTGCTGGATAGATCGGCAAAAGTTGCTTAACGGGTTGGATAGATGTGAGTCGGGAGAGACCAGAGGAGTGAAGCGTAATCTCTTCTCGGATTTTCATCAATCTAGTCCGGCATTCTGTTAGTGGGGCCACATGCCTATTTTTTCCCTTAAGTCTGTCAGCTTGTTCACCACTATACAGATAAACTGATTTGTTTTGAACACTCACAGGATACTTTGATTCATTCGTGATCGCTTGGAACCTACACACATACACGTGCAAGCACACTAAGTTATACATGCAGCTGCAAACAGTAGTGTGTTTTATTACAATCCTGTAAACCGGACATTTCCTGGTTACATTGCCTAGTTTGGGTCTGTCGAAAGCCGAGGTGCCTGTCATGCGGTAACTCAGTTTCCGATTGGTGTCTTCCTGTTAGAGCACTTAATCGATCAGTGAGTTGTCAACAGTGTTTTTGTGTCATTTTCTAGACTAGAGTTGACAGGTCTTGTTTATAGTTTTCTTTCCTATGTTTTCTAATTCCGGTTCCAAACGAGAATTCGCGTTTAGGATATTCGTATCCGTTTATCTCTGCTATTTATCAGTCATTTACTTTATACTTTCTGGAGAGTTAAGGCCTAGTATGGCGAAATGGGTTGATGCACACCTGTTTTCTCTCTCTACCTAAGTAATAGGAGTGCACCATCCCCGTTTATGCCCTATTCCTAGTTCTAATCGGCTGACGTTTCAGATTCACAGGTACTGCGGTACAGCACCAGTAACCGAACAAATGACAGCGGTGGGCAAACATGTACGGATGTTGTAGAGTATGAGAATTCTCACCACAGGTTCACCCAATCATATCGGAGACTTTCTTCGTGATGGTGAAATCAGAGAAGACAAATGGATCACTTAAGCAAATTATGCAGTCCGCTAGCCACATTATCAAATTAATTTGGGCAAACGTCCCCATCATAGAACGCGTATTCGTAAACCACAGTTGAACACTTGTACTATGGGCACGATTATTTGAGTGGGTTTGTTCGGCGCGTGGATTACATGAGTCACGACGGAAATCAGCTCGTGTATCCGTTTACTAGACGCGAGCGCAGTTCATTCCATTTATATGTATATGTGTATTTCACACGTTTGAATCCAGACTGTGTGCCAAACAAATCGTAGTACAATAATCTTTGTAAAAAAGAGAAACTCCGCGATTTTTTAGTGAACGGAATACTGCCAGGTTGCCCACGCCAAAACAGGTGAATGTTTTTGAGGAATTCACAACTGGAGCCTTTGTGCTTCGTTCCTCTCTATGCACGTCAGAGTCCTGTGAAAAGCGCATCCAATCAGGTAAGGTAAAAAACGCATTGTTTCGCAAAATGCACAGCTGGTCAAAAATGTGAACCACCTCGAAGGAACTGCATCTTGATGCGGGGTAGAGGCTTGTGCATCTCTATGACCCAGCGAGCTTCACATGATGGTTTCTTGAAACCAAAAGACCGGTTGCTTTTCTAGTCCCATAGGATTTGGCACAGATGAATCGGTTCACAGTACATACAAAGTAGATGAATGTCACAATGTCACAATTTGTCCTTGTTTCGTGCACTTCTACGGATGTTGAAATTTAAGACTTTTCAAAGCTTCATCCAGATTGTGCTTGAATGAATCAATTGTTGGTGCAGAGACAACGTGTGGTTGTAGAGAATTCCAAGTAATGCGCACTCTGAGGGCGAATGAATGCCGCCGGCATTCTAGTCGGCTTTTTCGGAGCGCTAATTTGATTGAGTGCTCCCGCAGGTGAGTGTTTTGCGACAAGGAAAGGAATGGACGACATGGGTGGTCTGGGTTCCGCATTATTTGGTATACCAAGATCAAATCTCCTCGAATGCGGCGATACTGTGTGGAGTACAGTTGCAGTGATTCCAGTCTTTCCGCATAACTTTTGGAATGTAGTCCTTTGACCATTTTGGTAACCATTCTTTGTGGACGTTCCAGAATCTTTTGATCGCATTGCAGCCATGGATTCCATACTTGAATGGCGTACTCTGTTTGGGGTCGAATGTAGGCTGATAACAATCTTGGGAACAGCATTGGTTTAAATTTTCCATATACTCGTTTTAGCAAACCAACGTGTCTTACAGCGGTAGACGATGCCCGGGAGCAATTTAAAGAACAGCTCAGGTTGTCTTGAATAATGACGCCGAGATCCTTCACATTCGAGGCGTATGGAAGTTTTTGATCTCCTAGAAAATACTGGAACCGAGTTTTGTGTCGAAGGGATACGATCGTACATTTAGATGCGTTAAATTCCATGTCATTTTCGATCGACCATTGATAAGCAGCATTAAGGGTTCTTTAGAGTTCCAGCGAGTCCTCTGGTTTTGTCACCGTTTCCCATATTTTTACATCGTCTGCAAACATAAATG